ATTTTGCCATTAAAGTAGTCGATAAAGCTTAAGAACATCAATGCTTAGCATAGATTGAATGTTCTTAAAATCTTCCACTCTTCCACTTTGAACCGCTGTCATTCGATGTTCAACTTTTTGTTCTTTTTACTCTTTGTTCTACTCCGCACATACTTATAACATAATAATATAACAATTAATTTTTCCCCCCCCCTTCTCTTTCAATCTCAAAAATGCAGTGCACACTTTATCGAATCACAAAAAAGTATAATTTCCTGTACATATCAACTCACAGAAGGTCATGACAGGCCGGTCCGGCCCATTGCAATGATCGTATATCCGCGAAGTCGCCTGCGAAGCGGCTGAGCTCGAACTGCTTCCTAACTGCTAAACGTTCTCTGACATTTATAACGCAAGAAAGGATCAGTGGTGGTGTCCTCTGAACTGCGAGCAACCAGTCGTGGGAAACGGCTCCTCGAGATGCATGTTCTTTTGCGCTCGTGAAGATGATCGAGAAACTCTGGTCTAACTATCAACTTTGGCCGTTATTTCTGTACGACAAAAAATTTCGAGCATTTCCTTGCAGGTTTGGCAGTAGTCGGTCTATGTTGTATACATGGGTGCCGTAACAAGTGCCAGGCTTTTCGCGCAAGTAGGCGTGATTATGCGTGCCTTTGGAGATCAAAACTACCTTTGGATGGATAAGTTTTCTTTCCGAACTCGAGATTTTTGACCGCCCAACCTAAACCATGAGGTTTATCAAACCATCATATCATCAACCTATCGGAAGCTCTTTGTCATGAAAATTGCTCTTTCAACCCAAGATTTTATAGAGAAAGGGAACGTTCCGCTTCACATTCCGCATAACGTAAATGATTTACATGACTCTGCATGCAAAATATCAGAAAGTGTCTTTTCAGTTAGTTTTCGATTCTACCGCTGCTCGTTTGACTGTATGTTGTCTGCCCTTTCTCGAGTATTAGATATCAAAATACCAGATCCAAGCTGGAAACTGTAACCAGTGGAAATTCGATCTCCTGAACAGTCGAAATCATACTCGTTTACCGCAAAAACACGCTTATCAGTCGCTATGCGTTCTCGTTTCACGTCATTGGCAAATATTAATTAAAAAAGCTTTCAAACCTTCGCAGAGTGCTCCCTAACCCTTACACAGCCAAGGTCAAGGCAGCAAATGAGGAGATACTCGCCTTATCAGCCTTTCTGGTCATGTTTTTCGAAAAGGCAATAAAAACACAAACCCACAAGAGACGCGATCCTATGACCTCTCACCGTGCAAGTGCAGGGTCAACCGTTTGTTCGAACTGTTCGAACGAAGAGGTCGCATTTGGTCGGAGGGTCGCAATTTCGAGGCACCTGTCAGCCACAGGCGCGTGCGTGCCGTATCCGAGGCAGAATGTTTTGTGCAAGACCGCATTAGATTCGATTATTAGACCACAAGCGAACAGTTTGGGCAAAATTACGGTGATTTTTCTCTGAGGAACGAGAGAACAGTTGAATCGTCATCTTCATGAAAAGTTTGACCTCCCTGTGGCTGAAAATTGATACTTCTTCGGGAACCTAACTTTTCTCGACGGTACGGTTCTTCCACACAAATCGTGAAAACAGTAAGCAAAGGAAGAATCCTCGGCGGACTTCAAAAATGTCTTCTCTGTCTCTTTCCAACATGCTCCGGTTGAAGGAAGTTATTATTGCTTGAAAGCCAGAGCTACCTCGCATGTGCTGCTCAACCTATGGCCGATCAAAGGTTCGAAGCTGATTTCCTCCGAAAAATGACTTTGAAAAAGAGTTATGGCTTGTTAGAAAGAGCAAATCTGCTCTTTCACCCATTTGGAAAGAGGGAAAACGCAGCGAATCAAAAACTGAAGCGAGTTATGCCTCGTTTGAAAAGAAAAAATTCGCTGATTCTCAAAGAATGTGTTCGGCAAACTCGCCGCAAATGTCGACATCGTGGCGATTTTCTCGAAAAAGGAACTTGAAAATGATTTAGGGGTTGTAGAAAGAGCAAATCTGCTCCTTCACCCATGTGAAAGAGGAAACGCAGCAATCAAAATGAGGCGAATGTTTGCTCGTTAGAAGACAAAAACTCGCGATTTCAAGAATGTGTTCGCAAAACACCGCCCAAAATGTTGTCGAACGTGGATGGTTCTCGACAAAATGAACTTGAAAAAATGATTTAGGGCTTATTAGAAAGAGCAAAACCTGCTCTTTCAACCCCGATGGAAATTGAAAAGAGGAAACACGCAAGCAAAATAAAGTGAGTTATAGTCGCTGAAACCTTAAAAAACTCGGTTTTGCACGGGAACTGTTCGAACGGGGCCAAAAGTTTTGAAAAAAAGGGGACAATCACTTAACTTTATATAATATTTGTTAACGAAATTGAAGTTTCCTTTAATACTTTTCACAATATGCCAAGATGTCGCATACGAAAGATTTTTATGAGCCTCAAAGTGTAGGTGCGCCTCTCAGAATTTTGGGTTTCCGCTTCGTACAGAAATACTTGGAGAGTGTATGGTCATTCCTGCGCAATTTTCGTCAAATCCACCTCAGGCACAGTCTTAAACCTACGTCAATAGGGAAAGCAAATACATTAAGAAAGTTTACACTCTCCGTAAAACTTTTTCTTCGCCGCGTCCCAGTTTTCCAGCGTCGGGTGATACCTGCGCAGCGCTCGCAAGGTGAGCCGCAACGCAAACGCTTTTCTGCGGCGGTTTTCTGACGCCATCATGTCAGTCCTGCTCTTCTTTAATCCTTCCCTCTTTTTTACAGCTTTTTTGAGCCAGAGCTTGCGTCAGTCTTCATGTGTACGTTGTTGGATATCCCTCCATTTGGTCTTACACATTCGCTTTCATCCTCGCTTTGCGGGGCAATTGTGAGCGATACAAGGAAATTTGATCTCGCGAGCTACTCATAAAAAATCGCTTCAATTAGCCAGCTCCCTGTGATTCTTGTCCCTTTGGGCTCCCACTCTTTATCGATTTGTTTAACGTGGACATTGATGGACGAACGTAACTCTCTTGATTTACTCCCTTGAAACTTGCTCTTGTGATTCTTTCGGAAGCACAAGTTTGAAGTTTTGGGCCAACATGAAAAAAATAATTGAATTTGTTTCAGAAATTCCAATGATTGGTTTTTGAAAAACATTCAATTCAAATTTCAGTGAAAGTCTCAATATCAAAATGTTTGTTCATATTTCATGGAAGGTCATTGTCCATTTGAAAACAATGACTTACGAACTTACGAAACACAACATTTGAAATATTGAATCTTTATGAACATTTGAAAAGAATTCATTCAATGCAGTGAAAGACTAATATATTCAAATGTTTTTTCTATGTCATGAAAGTTTTTTGTCTTTAAAAGTTTTAGTTCACTGTCTTTGAAGTAAAACTGAATGACAAATAATATTTCACTTAACATTTAGTCAAACATTCGCACTTCCATTACCTAAGAGGGGGGTCGCAATCTGGCCCCCCTGCGATAAGGGGGTGACGCCCTGAGAAAAGGGGTCGCAAAAACCCTAAAATTCGAACGTGGACGGGTTGCCCCTGGCTAGCAAGCTGGATCGTTACCATCTTTACGCGCACTCAACCACGGCATCCGCCTTCCCGTTGGCTTATACGCGGCGACTGCAGTGAGGCTGCCCTATATACTGCGTTTAACGCAAAGTTGAGGGGAGACTTCCGTAACTCCGTTCAGAGCACCGTTTAGCAGATAAAAAAGCGTTTCTAGCTACGTCTTAAAGACGAAGCGCAGGTATACACCTCATTGCAAATGGCCGGACCGGCCTGGTGACCTTTCCTCGTCCAGTTTCAGAACTTGTACCGTGCAACCACCATATTTCATATGGTGGTAACATGGTTGCGTTGCACGGTGCAGCGCGTTGACTGTTGAACAGTTAACGGCGAAATTAAAACTCAGCTGATTCCTCTTCTTTTTTCTGCCGAGAATAACTATGAATGACTTTGCGTCTTCTGGCACATTTTGTCATAGTCGGCTCTTAATACTCCTCGACATATATACTTATGCGATTCCTGTAGGAGCTTATAACAGCAAAAGCTACTTACAACCGGTAGTACGAGTTCTTTGTTTAGTTGATTATGCAAATCCTTACATAAATTTACAATAAAGCATTCTGACATTATTATTGATTAGTATTCAAGTAAGCGCTTCTTATATAAGTGAAATAAATTCCACAATCATAACGACATGATTGGACAAGCTCCGAACTGAAGACATGATAGTCGGTAAGTGATTCCAGAGCTGGAAAGATGTGTGAAACAGGGATTCATAATGTTTAGCAGCTGTTAGGGTGGGACTTAATTAGGTGGGTAACATTGTCGAACAAGGTGGGGTAGCGGTTCATTGGCGCGAGGGCTCACGATGAAAATGCAAATCCATCTGTTCTAGATCCTGGAACTACAGCTTTCCAGCGCCTGGTTTTTGTATGTTTACCCTACTTCCTGGTGAATAGGAAAGGTGGGAGTATCCCGAATTATTCTGGCTTTTTTACCTGTAGAGCATTTTAGGGAACCAAATTATAGCTAATTCGAAAAACCACACAGTGTGGCTATGGTAAAAATGTCATCTATTCAAAATTGTAATTGTCTCAAAAAGTAATTGAGAATTAAGAGAGTAAAGAAAAAGAAATCCAAGGAAAATGCCCATAGGGAAGCAAGTAACTAAGGAAACGATTACGCTACGACTTTGTCAGCGTTCTTTCTATGAGCCTTTCAAAAGCCTCCCATGTGAAATGCAGATTCCATAGTGTTTCTGAATTCCGTAGAAGTAGAAGATATTCCAAACTTTAGATTCAAACACTTCTTTGAACTTTTGTGAAGAATTTCGTCGATAGATTTTCCAAAAGTTTGGCGACAATGCAGTTTGTGGGAGGGAAATATGGTGGGCTAGGTGGAGGGGAAGGGGACAGGGCTTGTTTTCCCAGGGGTGGAGAACAAAAAGCGCAAAGAGTATTAATCCCGGAAAATTGAGTTATTTTCTCAAAGGTGAGCAGCCGGCATGTCAAATCCTCCGTTGCCGCCGACGAATCGTTTACTTTTGGTGTTCACCGAGAATCCAACATCATCACCGGCTTGCCAATTGTTCGGTATCTTGAACATTGTGTCCCATTCATCTCTAGAACATGTTTGTTTGGACATTTTTCAAGGGTTTCGCGATATAGTACTTGTTTTGCAACTTCCGTAACTACGTTTTGTTCGATAGCTTCTGTGATTAGTTCCAGCTTTCCTTATTAGATCGATGTCCTCACCTTGCTCGTCCTTGAGTCGAATATGCTGTGTTCACAGCTGGCTTTGTCGGGTCCAAAGAAGGCAGAATGAATCGCCCACCAATTCCGGGGATTTCCTTCTCTGTAGCTCCAACCCATCGTAATCGGGTGTGGCGACCCTTTGGAGTCCACGCCAGAGGTGGAATTGGTCGCTCTTCGATTATCTGAACATAAATAGTAGTACATAGATCGATCCAAGTATGAGCCATTCTCTACATCCCTCATGGAAAGTGATTAAGGCTTTTTTTGTTAAAATGATATTTTAGAGCTATGAAAATTGGTCCACCTTCTTAGTTTTTAAGCTTATGTCATGTCGAAACAATTCGAAATTCCATAGTTGTGCCGAAAAAAGTTAATAATCTTGCATAACATCATAAGCCATAATTTTGATTCAGGAATGGAGCTACTTCAAGTACTTTTAGAAGAAGTCACAATTACTTGGCCGGTTGCGGGGGTCGCGCCTATTCATTGTTGCACTTGTACACAAATACTTGTAGTATTAAAAGCAACACACCATGAAATGGCTGGTTTAGCTTATAATTAGGAAGGGGAAGGTTGACTAAAGCAACCTCTAGCAGCATTAGAAAAACCATGCCGTTTCAGCAGCAATGCAAGCGTTTGAATGTGGTGGTGGCAATTGCCACCGCCAGGGCCGAAAGGGTTAATATGATACTGTTCTTCGTTCTTTTCATTTCTTTTTTCATGTCTTCATTATTCGAATTTTTCCAGGAGTTTTCTGTATTGGTTCTTCACTTGTCTTCATCTACAGGGGTGGCCAAAAAAAAGGAGACACTTGACTCCACATTTCAGACAGCATTAATCACACTTTGCTGGAATCAAATCGTCTGCCCCAACTCATTATTGAAAAGCACCTTCCACTCTATCTAAACCTTGAATGACAGCCTTCTATACCGACGACATCAGAAGATTTTCCCACGGAAATACAGTTCGCGATACGAGCTCAACGGGGTCGTCGAGGTACCTTGACCATTACGACATCCCTGAAATGCTGGTCAAAAGCGGTTCTGCATATTCACAGCTGATGTCACTGGGAAGCTGTTCAGCTTTTAACCCATTGAAGAAATTGTGTAGCAGCTTCAGGTCGGAACGATTACGGCAAGCCTTGTTGAGCTCGACGGTGGCAGTAGATGACGTCATATTCTGGAGACGGCGGGGACAGCGCAGGAGGGGCTCCTTCTGCTTACGGGGAAACACCTATGGAGTATTACGCCGTAGAACTTTCACTAACATCGGCACTCTCTGCGACGAAAAGTTCGATGAAGTACGCCATGGGCAGAGTGTCTCTTTTTTTTTGGCCACCCCTGTATCTCTTTTTTGCGTCTATCGCGTAGGTTATTGAGGGAGGTAACCTCAGTTTTTGCTCTCTGATCAAAAACTGGATCAGTTCGACATTCAATTTTGTGCTGGTTGAAGAACGCCGCAGGTTTTGTAGAAAAAACATCTTTTTCAGACGTCAAATGAGCCTTGTGACACTCTCACAAACATCTGGTTCGTGTGGGTCGATGTGTCTTTCCTAAGAAACAGTATTGTTTAGCGCGGGAATTGAAACTTCCTATTATTAATCGAGGGTCGGTCGGCATTGTGTGATAGACATTTAAGCTGAAAAGGCCACTTCTACTTACCTGTGATACTTTACCATCGATTGGGTTGTGGGTTTTTGTGCCAAACAGCCGTGGATAGGCTTTGATTTGCTTGATACGTTGCTTGCCTTTTTGCTCGGGTGTCAGGATTTCTCTGTAAGACTTGTTTTAGGTTTTTTTTTCTTTTCGGGAAAAGTCAAATAGCCATCTCTGTATGTCCTGGAGGGTAAATTTAACAAATTGTTGCAATAGATGTACTTAAAAATTCCCAAGGCACTCCAATTTCAAGACTTGGGAGCGCCTCTTATTCCGGTTCATTTCAGGATAGTAATCCGCACTAGCAGGTGATCATGAAAGGCAGATCGATCAGTTGGGAGTTATTATTAAGTCACCACATTCGTGATTAGAACGCTTGTAATACATATTACCGGTTTTACATGTATTACCGGTTAGTCGAACACCAGCAATTCGGAATTTCATACGTAGTTCGAGGTGAGAAATAGTAAACTATTAGGTCGGTCCATAAGTCTTGCAACAAACTGGCCGAATTTTGAATTCAATATTTTCATTATCTTTTTGTTCCATTCATCCGGCATGCTACCCTCCATTAATATCTACAACCTATTGCCAACACAGTGGTAGCTGCTCAATGCCTCCCTTGTAGGACTCTACTAAATTCTGATCGAAGAAAGATCAGATGTCGATTTTGACATCATTATAGTTAGGATGAGCTTTCTTCTCTAGGAGATGGTTTGGAGAGGAGAGGAGAAGGGCATTATTAGCCACGAGGTCAGGGCTATAACGTGAATACGAAAGAACTGCCCGTCCTAAAGTATCAAAATTTTTCTGATTTCTCTTAGCAAGAGGTGGTTTAACGGTGTCATACAGAAGCAAACTTTGCCTTGTTTTTCTTTCGTATCAAAAGCGTTGCATTCGTGCTGTAGATCGTTGACTTTTGCGTTGACTGTGACATCTACACGGAGGGGTTTCCAGAGCCTAACTCCGCTCGTGTTCCACCAAAAAACCGTCTTCGGCAAATGTGATGGATGGTCAATCGTAGAAGCCCTAGAAAGTCGATTAAAACATTACCGGTCAGAGGGTCGTTTTGGAGTGAATTAGGGGTTCAAGCTACGGACCAATCTACAATTTTCGGGATCTTCACAAGTCTTGAGAGCACAGTGCTGTCTTTCCTTGACTCATCGGATCACTCTAGCGAATGATACTATACTCTATACAGATCGCTTTTCAATGGTCGTCGTCAGATATGACTTATTTGTCAGTCACGAGTGGTTGGAGTGTGCGGTTCTTTCGAATAAAAAGTCAACCTGAGGGCAGAGTGAAGCGCCGTTGCGCTTGTGGTTTGAGAGAGTCTTGCCTCGCTATTTCTGGCCAATCCATGTCTAGCATGACTTGCGAACATACCACGCAGTACTGGTAAAATAAGGGCATCGATTGAGCCCTCTCGCGGAATCGGTGTAATATTTCATAAATAATTGAGCAGGCAACGAGGCTGACGTTGGCTGAAATGCAGTGGGTGAATGTACGCTCATGGAAATATGTTCGGATTTCCAGGAGTTTTTCCATAAAATTCTATATAGCTTAAATGTGGTAGTTTGTTGCAACGACTTAATGGACAGACCTAATATATATCTTACATACTATAAAGCGCTTGGGGCGGTCTGCGTTCTGGCTCCTCTTTGTGCTGTCTTTCGTTTCGTGTAGTGTTTTTTTTTCTGTTTCACGTAGGAAATTTCCCTAGCTCCTCGGATCGCCTGGAGGGACCGGGTCAGTTGTGGGTAGGTGGGCAGTGGTTCACGTAATACCAAAACACAATCGCTAAGCCGGAGCCCGCCCACAGATGTGGCGTGGCTGCCGTCGAGAGAATGGAATTTTACCAATATGATGCGTCTAATATGTGATTTCATGTTGAAAAACGACTTGAAATGGCCAAAAGTGGCTAAGTGTGCATTTCGTTTAATACATCGAATTAGGGAGACCCACCCAGCGGCGGGGTTCTCTAAAAAATGCATGCTTTATGAAAAATGCATAAACTCGGTTGGGAAGAAAGCCTAGAGAGCAGAAACAATTCGGTGTAAGGGAGCAGTGTCTAAGTGTTTCCCGCATCATGACGTGGGCGGGTAGCCTGCCAGAATGGGCGGGGCGCGCTCTGAAGTGTACAGCATTTTCTACAAGCCTATAATTCGATCGTCGGGAAGGTCTAAAGGCCGGAAAAAGTGGATAGAGTTGTATTGAGGACGTGGAGTACAGCTCAATGGTGGGCGAGGCTTGACCAAAGTGGCGGAGTTTGCGACGAAAATTTATTAACTCAGCTCCATGAATCGCGGGCTGGGGAATAAAGGTAGATAGATGTGGTGGAGGAGCGGAGTGCACTGCCATTTTGGTGGGCGGGGCCTGACCAACGCGACGGAGTTGCCCGCCCGAAAATAATAAACTCGGAACGCCAGAAGTCGGAGCGGAAAAAGCGTGGATGGAGGTGCGCGGTGGGTGTGTGTGCCTGATGAGGAAGCCAGCTGTCACCGGTGGCGGAGCTTTAGTGACCAAAAGTGCGGAGTTTTGCTCGAACGAAACATATATAACTCACATCCATGAACTCCGGAGCTGGGAAAAGGTAGAATAACGTGTGCGGTGGGGGCGAGTTAGGCCAGCTGTCATCGGTGGGGGTCATCCTGGCAAATGGGCGAGCTTTTTGCACGACAAAATTCAATAAACTCCGGCTCCAAGAAGATCCAGGCGGCTGGAAAAGGCTAGTACGTCGCGCGAAGAAAGGACGGTCAAAGCTATATGGCGTAGAGCACGCACCTAAGTGCGGTTGCCAAGCTATTCGCAATGCGGTTGAATGATTCGAGATATAGGGAAAACCGGCGGTTAGAGTTGTGAGGAAAAGGCTCAACTGCTATCACTGGGTAGAGCAGTGCACCTATAAGTGGGCGAGTTTGCCAAAAGTGTCTAATTTGATTTCCAGAGAGTCCACGTACCGGCTGGAAAAGCGTAGATGCGTCGGCGAAAAGAAGGAGCCAAATGCTATTGGTCGGACAGGGCACCGCCACACCGAAGCGCAGACGGAGTTCTCACGAACTTAGGGCGAGACGATTGAAAATATTATAATGGTTGACGCAGAACGAAGCGGACGTAATTTAGCGGAGAATTCAGTATTCGTATTGTATCTAAGCCAAATTTTGAAATTTTCGGCGGCACCATCAAAATTCGCAACAGATCTGTGCTCGCGCCAAGGCGCTGCGCCCAACTTGGTATACATCCTAAATAAAGATTGGGTAAGGATCCACTAATTATAGACTATAATTCAATACTCTAATAATAATTTAATAATTAATTAATAATAATAATTAATAATATAATTAAAATAATTAATAAGGTGCCTACTTCAGTGCGGGGTGTGCGGGCTCACCGGTGGCGGCCGGCAGTCATGCCTACCTGAGTCTTCTAAATGCTCTGATAGACAGGAGGGAGTTGTACTCCATTCATAGGGGGGTGGGGGTGGGGGCAGTCACTTGACAGCCTGAAAGCTGAATTGTTCGAGTTTAACTGTCTCGTTAGAGAACCTAGGTTAGCAGACGCGCCCGCCGTCCAGCGTTGCCCCCCCCAACTAAGTTCGCTAGCACTTCAGTATAATAATAACTAATAATAATAATAATATAATAAATAATAATAATAATAATAATAATAATATAATAATACATCAATAATAATATAATAATATATAATCAATAATGAATAATAATAATATTAAGATAATAATTACATAAAACATTATCACTCACCCATCACTAGCTGTTTCATAGTTACTTTTGTAGACGCTTTATGCATAGATTAGTAGAGGTTGTTATGAAAAAGCTACCTTCCACTCAGGATTTCTTCAAGATTGCCGTCGAGAAACAGTGGTGCGATGCTCGGATTGTTTTGTAGATTTGTTAAAACCTGAAAAGAATTCCATTATTAGCTTCAATTATCAGTTGGTTATTTTTATAATTATTTTACATAGTTATTTTAATTGCAATTATAATTACCAGTTGGTGCTGTTGATTGAAACAAACTAACAGAACTACTATATTAAGAAATGGGTTCAAAACTTCTCACTCGTGATTTTTTGTTGATGAACCCTGGAAGTTGACTGTTACCAGAGCGACGAATCTCCTCTTTTTCTTCTTCCGGATCAATCCCGACTATCAATGGCAGCATTTTTCGTGGCCTGAAAGTTTTATGGGAAATTGCTCTCTTCAGTCCCTTTTGATCCCAGAAGCTGACACACCTCTGTGGAAGTTTTCTGGGCACGAAGAATCCTGGTTGTGGATTTGGGTTCCTGATCAGCGGTTTCGGTTTGAGATATTGTTCAACATCATCGACCCTGAATTTGTTAATTTTAGCAGCAAATCAGTTAAGATTACAAAGAGTGAAGTATGAAGAGGCCCTTATGGTCATTCCCTCTAGAAGGCGCAGGCGGCTTATATTTAGAGTTGTACGGATAGTCGAATGCGGCTTGGAGTTACGACAATGACTTAGGGGAGACAGCTGCCCCTCTAGGTAATGTTTTTGTCCTTGCAGATGCATCTTGCAACAAGATACGCTCCAAAAAACCGACAACATGGTTGTTGTTCGACTTGGATTCGATCCTGCGGGCAAATTTAACTACTGTCGCGTTCTTTTTCGTTGCTGTACTTGTGGATTTTGACGAGTTCAGGCAAAAGGGTGGTGGCTTCGCTCTTCTGATAGAATGATAATCTCTGATTGATCTGACTAACCAGAGAAGGAACCGTAGTGCATCTCAGTCCCGTTACTTGAGAATCAATGGTGACGGTGGGTTCTGGCTGCAAACTAAAATAGCCTAATCTGGTACGGGTATTGTTCGCTCAATGCGATACTTCCGTGGAAGGGTTTTATCCAATAAGGGGAGAGCGGTGCTGCAACTTGCTTCCGCACACAGAAGTTCCGTTTTTGCAGAGGGAAAGCAATAGGAGAGCTTCCTTCTCCTGCGAAGAATTAGATTATTTTAGGCGATGTGAGCTGTCGCACCACGTGTCCGCTCCTCTGGTGGATGGGACCCCAACGCAGTTAACGAATGATGGTAGATCGTTCTGGATTGCGTCAGAGAAGGAACCGTAGTGCATCTCAGTCCCGTTACTTGATAATCAATGGTGACGGTGGGTTCTGGCTGCAAACTAAAATAACCTAATCTGGTACGGGTATTGTTCGCTCAATGCGATACTTCCGTGGAAGGGTTTTATCCAATAAGGGGAGAGCGTGTGCTGCAACTTGCTTCCGCACACAGAAATTCCATTTTTGCAGAATGAAAGCAATAGGAGAGCTTCCTTCTCCTGCGAAGAATTAAACTATTTTAGGCGATATGAGCTGTCGCACCACGTGTCCGCTCCTCTGGTGGATGGGACCCCAACGCAGTTAAAGGAATCTTGCGTGGAAAAATCATGATTCTATTTCAGCCATAA